TATAAAATGTGTATATGATCACTCAATATCATTGTGAAGATTGCAAAGACACATGTATGTGAAGCATCTGGCATGTAGCAGGCACTCAGTAAATATTGTTATACTAATTCTACTGTATTGGAATAAATCACTGTTATGTTTAAGGCATGATAGAGTTTAATGAAAGGAAAGGCTGTCCCTTCAAAAAACCTTAAAAATTAAAAGCAAAATAACTGCCTTTCCATATTTTTACCTGATCCTTAAGAAAGCATTAATCAAGGGGCACCTGAGTGGCTCAGTCAGTCCGACTCTTGCTTTCAGCTGGGGTCACGATCTCAGGGTCATGGGATTGAACCCCATGTTGGGCTCTGTGCTCAGCATGGAGACTGCTTGTCCCTCTCCTTCCTCCTCTGCTCCTCCCTCTGCTCTCGCACATGCTCTCACGCTCTCTCTCTAAAATAAATAAATGAAATTTTTTAAAAAAGCATTAATCAATTCCTAAGTGTTCAACAATGGAGTCTTGGGAATCAGTGACAAATATTAAAATAATTAAAACAGTGAATAAGTTAATTGTTAAAGCAGATCCTTTCTTAAAAGTAAGACAATGTATATAATACTGTATGTTGACTAGCTGGAATTTAAATAAAAACTTAAAAAGACTAAGAGAATGAACAAGATGTTTATGATTTTCTTATAATCCAAAGATACCAAAATGGTACTGACTCATGACCACTCTTATTATCTGTACTTAGTGAAACAAGAAAACTCCCCAGAAAGAGTGAGATTCAAAGAATTTATATCTGAAAATGAAGCAACAGTATGTATCGAATGTCTGCTTCTTTCATTTACCTAGCACTGTAAAAACCTTTAAATATTCCAGGGAACACACAGGGTAACCATTAAAACTAACAGAAGCCAACAGCCAAGGAAAGAATATGGATTGTTTCATTTCTTTAATATACTTACTGCTGTCTTCAATATATTTCCTTTTCTCCTCTCAAAATTGTTTTTCCTTTTCTGTCGTGGATAATGATTATTTCCTCAACATCTCAAAACTCTTCTCTCAGTTCCTTTATTTTTGATCCTCCCTCATGATTTTTCTCTTTTCATTTGTAGTCAGTCTGTTGATTCTACACTGTTAAGATATAAAGACAATTCAGGTCAGTCATTTAAAAGCAATGAGCAGATAGAGGAAAAATCAATCTGCACTAGGGTTTTTTTCATAAAGGTGATAGATTAGGCCTTCAGTGATGGATAGGGTAAGAAGTGAAGACGCAATAAGAGGTTGGATGTAGGGGCACCTCTGTGGCTCAGTCGGTTAAGGTTCCAACTTTTGGTTTCGGCTCAGGTCATGATATCAGGTTCATGGGATCGAGCCCCACATCAGGCTCCGCACTGAGTGGGGAGTCTACTTGAAGATTCTCTCCCTCTACCCCTCCCCCCCCACTTGTGCATCTCTTTCATTCTCTCTTTCAAATCTTTTTAAAAAAGAGGTTGGATGTACATTTTGGGTAAAGTTAATGGCAAGAGTAAATAAAGACAGAAAAAAATGCAGATTTTGGCATAAACAACAAGTAGTCAAGTTTCATGGGAGAAGAGCCTAGAAAGATGGACAGTACCAAAGATAGCTTTGAATGCAGTCTAAGGAAGCTGAACTCTAGTGAGTTTCTAAGAAGGGAAAGAGCATAATATCTCCAAGAAATTAATCTGGCAATAGAGTGGAGAAGGATTGTAGGCAGAACTATAATTTACTGATTAGGCCCAAGATTTTAGGTGCCCAAAATATGAAATTTGTGAACTGGGGAACAATGTTAGTGATAGAATGGAAAGAAGAGGAAAGACTTCTCAAACTAGTGGGCCATAGGGAATGGTATTGGCATTAATGGGGATAGTGAAGTCAGAAGAAGGAGGTCAGGGGTGGGAAAGGGAGATGATAAGGGCAGGGTGAGTCATATTGGTGCTGGAACGTCAGCAGAATAATGAAATGGAACCATAGATCTTGGGAGAGTTACGGTAAAAAGAGGATGTAAACTTATATTTTCCTTGTAGTGAACATGAGCTTCATAGAGTGAGTATGGTTTTCTCCATTGTGAAAATCATAATAAAGGTGAGAGTGAAGCAAGAAATAGGTAGGGGCATAGATCTTTATTATCAAAAATCATTCTGTACAGAGTCAACATCGAAGTGAGAAGTTCTTGCTTTAGCACTAGAGTTAGAAGGACTTGTGAATACTTCCTAACTGAAAGTATTTGTATTCCCCACATAGGAAAACAGTGGCTGTTTATAAAGGGTATCTTTAAAGTAAGGCCAGCTAAAAATCAGCACTCAATAAATATTTGTTGAATGAATGCATGTTCATGTTTTTTTTAAGGTCTGATAATCAGTCTAGGGGGAGAAAGAGGAATTTCATAGCCCCCGATTTTCTTTCCTTTTTAATTGTGGTGAAGTGTAATAATGTAAAATTTTCCATTTTAACCATTTTTAAATGTACAATTCCATGGCATGAATTACAATCACAGTATTGTGCAATCGTCACTATTTCCAGAACATTTTCATCACCCTGTACAGCAACTCTGCACTAACTCCCCATTCTTCCCTCCTCCCAACCTCTGACAACCTTTAAACTACTTTCTGTGTCTATAGATTTGCTTGTTCTGGATATTTCATATTAGTGGAATTATACAATCACACAATAAGGTATTTTCATTTTTACCATATTGTGGTTAGAATACTTAACATGAGATCTGCCCTCTTAACAAATTTTTTGTGTGTACAATCCAGTATTGTTGACTAAAGGTACACTGTTGTACAGCATATTGTTTTTTGCCATGTTGTGTTTTGTTTTTCATGGTACCATCAATTAACAACTACATCCATTTGAATTAATCTCCAGAACATCAGTAAAACCATACCTGGTAATTGGGACAAAAGTATAGGAGTGGTAAGGGTGGGGATGGTTTGTAAAGAAATCAAGGCTAATTAATAATTTCCAGTCTTACCACTTCTCATCAAGTGTTTTCCTCTCTCTCAATCTGGGGATGTGGGCAGAGTGGATTTCGATAGAACTTAAAAGCAAGCTCCAATAAGGAGAAACTGTCAAGTTTACTTACGTGGTCCTAGCACCTAGGACAGAACCTGGCACATAATAGGATCTTATCACTCATTCAATAGTTATTTACTGAGTGCTTACTGTGTGCCATACAGTATTCAAGGAAATGAAAATATGTATGTGTATATATATCATATATATATATCATTGAACAAAATATACATTTCTTTTTTTTTTTTTTAAAGATTTTATTTATTTATTTGACAGAGAGAGAGATAGCGAGAGCAGGAATACAAGCAGGGGGAGTGGGAGAGGGAGAAGCAGGCTTCCCGCCGAGCAGGGAGCCCGATGTGGGACTCGATCCCAGGACCCTAGGACCATGACCTGAGCCGAAGGCAGACGCTTAACGACTGAGCCACCCAGGCACCCCAAAATATACATTTCTTGTCCTTTGGAATATTTCAATAGGAGATGAGGAAATATAAGCATTTAAAAAAACATTTAGAATACCAAAAAGTGTCATGCTATGGAAAAATAGCAAGAGGATTGGGAGCATAAACATAAGTCAACTGAGATTTTAAATGGGTGACCAGGGTAGGCCTCAGTGAGCAGATCTGAAGAAATGGGGGTGTGAGCCACATGAATATCTGAGAGGAGCATATTCCAGGCAGGGGAAACCACACGTAACAAGGTCCTGAGGTGGGAACAAAGCTAGTGTTTTGGAGAAACAATAAGGGGCCTGTGTAGTGAGTTGAATAAAAGTGTAGTTTGTTTAAATAGGTCCCAGTAGGGGGAGCATATGGTGTGGCTGTGAAGACCACCCAAAGAGTTGAATTAAATGGGGAAAATAGAGGTTTTAAGCAGAGGAGAAACACAATCTGGTTTATGTTTTAAGCAGATCACTTTGGCTGCTTGCTAAGACTTAGGTGGAGGTGAGGGTAGAAGCAGGGAGGCCTGTGAGGAGACTACTGGAATTATCCAGGCAAGAGATGATGGTTGAAATCAGGCTGTGAAAGCAGTGAGAAATTCACAAGCCTGTTCCTTTTACAAATCACAGTGGAAGGCATTTTGTTCCACTGTCCTAAGCACTTTAAATCTTCAAATGCTCTTATTTGCTTACAAAATGTGGTAGGTTGAGTAATGCCCCCGCCTCTGCCCAAAAATGCCCACATCCTAATCCCCAGAAGCTGTGAGGATGTTACTTTACATGGCAAGTGTGGTTAATTTAATGCATCTGGAGATGGGGACATTCTCCTGGATAATTCTAGCGGGCACAATGTAATCACAAGGATCTGTATGAGAGGGAGGTAGGAGGGTCAGAGTCAGAGTAGGACATGTGAGGATAGAAGCAAAAGGTTGGAGTGATGTGAGCAAGGGTCCAGGAGGCATCATATGCAGTAGTCTCTAAAAGCTGAAGAAGTCAAAGGATTCTCCTCAGAAGGACTGCAGCCCTACTGACATCTTGATTTTTCGCAGTGAGACCCATTTTAGATTTCCAATCTCCAGAATTGTATGGTAACAAATATGTGTTATTGTAAGCCACTAAGTCTGTGGTAATTTTTTACAGAAGCAATAGGATACTAATACAGAGAACAAGATTTCCAAATAAATACATAATAATCATGTTACTCTACTATAATTTACTTAGCTATTCCTGTATTCAAATTTTCAATTTTCCCTATGATAAACATTGCTGAAGAGGATATTGCTATGAATAAATCTCAGCACGCACCTCTGATAATTTTCGTAGGTTTGGAAATTGACTACTATGATGATAGGTTTTTCTATTTTAAATTACAGAGAAAGTAGAGAGAATCATTCAACAAACACTGTATTCACACACCAAGATTTTTGTTAACACTGGTGTTTTATATAATAAAATGAATAAAATATAAGTGGTAGAGATTAATTACCCTTCGAGCTCCCTTGCCATCCTGCTCCCTCACCACCCTCTCTTCCAGCACAAAAACTGACAAATATGGAATGATTCACACATATGTGAAACATCCTTGCACACCGGCTGTGCTAACCTTCTCTGTGCTGTTCCAGTTTTAGTATGTGTATATATATATAGTGTATATATATATATATATAGACAAAGCAAGCACTGGGGTTTTCTTTTAGTCTTTTAAGAAAAACTTGAAGAAACATAGCCACGGTCATAAATTATAATTTGTTTATGACAATAACACTTTGAGACTGAAAAATATGTAAATTTTCATGAAAGGAAAAGGCAAATATAAGCATTAAGAAAAGAAAAAAAGGCCGAAGTGAATAATAAACTAATTGTAGCTATTTTTTTTCCTAGATGTACATTTGATTTTCTGTTTATCTTACATCCAGAGTATTAAAATATAAGTTAAACATATGAAATCTTCAAATTATGCACTTACAAGCCATTACTAATTTTGTCACAGTTCCCAAATTAGTCAAATTGGCTTGTGTTCTGAACTGGGAAGAAAAGGGTATTGTTTCCCTTACTGTAACTCTACTGTTGTGTTAGGGTGTCTCAGTGGCTACTTTACAATCTAGTTTGAGAATAGGTCTCTTTGTCAAGCTCGGTCATAATTTGGGCAAACCCTCTACTTAAGCAGAACGCAATTCAGTTATGAGGATGAAGATTAATTTTTATTGTAGGATATCACAAAACTAGAAGTTTGACTTAATGGACTCACCGAATAAAAAATGTCTCAAATAAAAGATTTTCTCAAGGTCTGTAACTTTTTAATAGCTTTTACATCCCAACCTGTATGTATGACATTATCAGTTTTTACTGAAACAATCACTTTGATTTGTTTGGAAGAGCAGTTCTTTCACCCTGGTCAATCTAAATATTCTAACACTTAAATTTTTTGATAATAGAAGTTATGTAAAAACCACAAAGTATGAAATTCTACCACTGAAATGGTACACATTTTGAATTAATCCCTATGAAATAGCAAATAAGCAAAAAAAAAAAAAAAGGCTAAAACTGTTTTTTGTGCAGTACTTGAAACACAAAATATTTATTTTGTTTCTTATATTTGGCAATAAAGCCAGTAAGTACTATCTTCTCATATAAAGATACAAACAGTGTGGTTTATTAACTTCACTGATAAAAAAAATTTTAAGAGTGAAAGTGAATAATAAGCAATAGGTGTCTGTTTACATATTACACACATACATACAATGAGAGGTTTTATTTATAATTAAAAGGCTAGTCTTTTTCCTAGGGGAATTACATTTCCCTTTAAAATAATGAAAACAGGGTGCCTGGGTGGCTCAGTCGTTAAGCGTCTGCCTTCAGCTCAGGTCATGATCCCAGGGTCCTGGGATCGAGCCCCACGTCAGGCTCCCTGCTCCGCGGGGAGCCTGCATCTCCCTCTCCCACTCCCCCTGCTTGTGTTTCCTCTCTGGCTGTGTCTCTCTCTGTCAAATAAATAAAATCTTTAAAATAAAATAAAATAATGAAAACATGAATAATGGCCTGCCCCATGGAGATATTTTTTTACTTATCCTGATCAATGAAGCAAGGAGGGAGAAAAGTTTCCACAGATATCTCTAAAAAGCCCTGAAAGTGAACCTGAAAGTGAAACTATTATTTTAGGATCAAAAGGACTTAGGCTCTGACTAAAAATATGTAAACTCATAACCAAGGAGGAGTGATTTAATGAGATGGGCTTGTCCTCAACTTGGCTGTTGCTTTCTAAGTTCTGAGTTACAACACCTCATTATATAAATGAACTTAATCTTAGAGGAATGTGCTTTATAGTTAATTTTTAATTTATGCTTCTTACTTCCTAATCTGACTAATAACACTGACTTCAGAAATTTAGATGCTACAGAAGGTTTTTGTTAAAAAATGTATTATTTTATAAAGATAAAATTTCTTTTTTTTTCTTTTAAGCTTACTGTTGTTTGCCATGAACAACTGAGAGATAGTAAAAAAATGCACTTATATACACATACATGATGAAAAGGATCTTTATTGTTACGCCTTTACTCTAGGAGAGTGTTCTCCAAGTGTGGTGTTAGGATGACTTCTATCACTTAATCACCTAATAAGCTTATTAAAAAATGAGGTTTCCCACATTCCAGCCCAACTCACACTCATTGAAACAACTCAGCAGGCAAGGGTGTGGATCAGAAATGTGCATATAAAACAAGCATATTTGGCGATACTGATGGAGATAGCTCAAGGAGTGATCTTAAAGCAACCCTGATTTAGGAGCTAACATCACGTTTTTCTAAGGTTTATTCTATAGATCTTTAAAGTATACATTCATATAATGTCAGATATATGTCTATCATATATTTTGTGAGAACTAATTTTAAACTGATCATTGGCAATTTGTGGAACTGCACATAATGATGACAGTAATTGCAGATTTTTAAAGACCACTGAATTAGCCCAATTCCTACTTTGATCATAGGCCATTCCAAGCTACTCAGTTGTTGACTGTTGAACACACTTACTTGAGTGACAACACTGGGTTAGTCATTATGCAACACTGATATTATTTTCCCCTTTATTTCATGTCCTCCTTTGATAAAAAAAAACCTTACTCACTTCGCATGAAAATTCTGATACGACTCTTTCCATTGTGTGCCATCTGCATCCCAGCTCCAGTTAAGGGTCATGACCATTTCTGTATTCTCGTTAGCTGAGAAAACGTTATTTTTTGTAGTTTGTATTTTTAAAAGTAGATTTTCTTTGCTTCCCCAATACAAAATTATAACATATTCCCCAATACAAAATTATAACATTTTTTTCCTGTTACTACAGACTCCTTTCCCCAAGTATCCCCCAGTCCTGCAAGAAATAATAATAAGCTCATTCTGTTGAGAACTGCATTTACATAAAACACTGTCATGAGTAGAATAAAAATTCAGATATTGATTCAAATTGCCATTATTAATCTTGGACCCAATTTTACAGTTTACAAAATTGACTCCACAAGTCATGAGGTTAGTTGATGATGCTAGGAGTCTGGGGTATCACTTGCAACAGAGAAAGAGATCATCATATTGTTGTAACTTCATGACTGTTTTCTCTGTATATCTTTCTGTCCTTTATCTGGAATCATTCTTTGATGCTGTCTCCAGAAACTCACTATATACTATTTCACGTGTCAGTCATCCATGGTCGTCATTTGCCAATGTGTATATAGACCATGTTCCATCTTCATAGCTTTTCAAGATCTTCCAAGTCTTTAAAATGCAACTTCTTGATTTTTACCTTTCAATGGACTTTTCTTCACTCACGCATGAGTTCTTCTCTTCCTCCTACCTCCGCACATTCTCTGCTTCCATGTTCAGACGTCACCAATCTACCTATCATGTATATCCTCTGTACTGTGATACAAACATTTCTGGTACGGATTTTGATCTCAGTTGACCTTCATCAGGTAAATTGAAAAGTTAACCCTCAATCGCTATAAAGTGTATCTCTTTACTTGCCATGTTGCACAAAACACAAAGTTTAAATGGTCTTTTCAGGGTTAATATAAAACATTTCTTAGTCCATAAAATAAGGGAAAGTAAGCAGCTAATATAATCATCCAAATCCAATACATTAGAAAGTTCTTACCCCTAAGTGTCAGAGCATTTAGGGATTATGGAATAATTGCAAATCATGTAATGATAATATGGGGTAATATTTATTATGTGGGGGAGCTACTTATTTTATTGAAGGTCCCAAATAGAAATAGAAATCCAAAATTTCAACACCTGATGTAAAGATATAGAAAGCATGAAGGATAGAAAATAGAAAAATGAACTGAAACTAAAATTCTACTAGAAAATTTAATACAAGAAAGTCACTGAAATATTTTCAAAGTGACATATCAGGAAGAGAAAGTAGCAAATAGCTAAAACCAGTGAGGCAGTGCCAAAAAACCAATAAGGAGAAAAATCTTCCTAAAAATGATGGATGATTTAATCAGGACAACTAGAATTAAATTAGAAGACGAGAACACACACAGGTAGAAAATATGTTGGACCAAATTCTGTAGAGCTAGGGGAAAAAATAGGTTATTGGATTCTTTAATAATAAATGGAATCTTCTAAGTATTAAAGAAACTAATAGACTTCTCCAGTTATGTGCAAAAAGCATTCATTAACAATAGAATATTACTATTCATTAAAAAAAATTTTGATGCTCCAAGAGATTCTAAAGCTTCCATTTGCCTTTTAAATATACAAACTATACCTTGATTTCTCTGTCATTTTAAGTAGGTCATAGAATACCTGAATTTGAATGTTACTTCACTCTTTTTTTGCAGAATTTCAATAAATACTGCATATTTCAATAAATCAGCCACAATTAAATAATACTAATGTTCTATCACAAAAATACAATGGCAACAAAACCTATATTTTTAAAAGTACCTTACTCTGAAAAACTCAACAGAAACCTTTAGGAAAGCTCAACATGGACAATAAATACTTAGAGGTACTTTTGTTGCTTTTGTAGTCTCTAGTTATAGTATTATTTAATAGATCACTGTACTGTTATCCCATGTAGCTCTCTGAAGTATCCTTCACTCTTCTGTGCTGGTTATTAATAGTCTGTTCGTAGATAAACATTCAATATATAATGCTAATGCTTGAATGTTTTTGTTTTGACTATCTTTTTTTTTCTTTTTTTTTAAATAAATACAATTTCAGTAGTATAATGAAACAAAAAGGTATTTTATGCTGTCCTGGTAACTTATTATAGTATTAACATACTTCACAATATATATGCTATAGAAATATTTTTTTTCTAGATTAAGATTTCAAAATGGCCTACTTGTACCTTTGGAACACAATGTCTTCTGTCCAGGATTTGCATCTTCCTCTCTTGAAAGATGCTGGCTAGATCTACCTGGTTTTATAACATTGTGAAAGGAATCTTATATCCAACTTGACCATACCATCAAAATATATTTGTCTACTAATCCTCTTCTGGTATAACAAAATCCATCTACTATTTATGTAACAGAGCAGGAAGGAACAAAAATATTGTCCTTAACTTTAGAAATTTTAGTTCAGATCCGCTGAGGAGCACATATGAAGTGAATATGTTCTCTTACAAAATTGTGGGTTTATCTTTCATTCT